GAGAGCCAATCAAAATCAAGAATCTATTCGTAGATCATTCTAGAATGCGATTTCCTAATTTGGTATATTCCCAGACTATAATATATTATAACCCATCTTCAGTTATTAATTAAAGTTGTTCAGGATTATTTTTAATATATATATATGCATTTTTAGAGTAGATTTATAAGTCTGATAAAAAATTGAACAGTCTACCAGATATTCCAAAAGGCTCAGATATCAAAAATGTACAACACTGTTTTAGATGTAGCCAAGTGATATTAGATCTGTAACTTAGATAGTTTGAGTATACTTTGTGCATATACTTTGATCTAATAAAGATACTAACAAGGCTGCTGATATAGAAAAAAATAAAATAAAAATAATAATAATAATAATAATATTTTTAATATCAGAAAATTTTTAAATAGGGTAAATATCAATTACTAGCTACAAAAGCAATTGTTATCAATCAGAAAAATTAATAATAATTGATATTTGTTTTTAATTAATACACAATCGATTAAAAATAATCGATTTTAATTTGTTTTGATACTAATCGATTTTTAATCAAGCAACACTAATCAATATTAATCAATTTTAATTAGTATTAATCGATTCTAATCTATATCGATAGCAATTAGCAGGGATACTGCTTATCGATAAATATTTCTATCTATCAATTGATTGCTAATCAATTTAAAAATTTCTTGATAAAATAAAAAAATTTCTATATTGTTATATGTTTGTTATGATTATATCACAAAATTACTGAATATAAAAGTGATAATGCCAATTTTTAATAGAGAGTAACCAAATCACTCACTTTTTATTAAAAATTAGTTTTAAAAATATTAAAGTAGTAAGGAAAGTTATAGTTTTGTGAGTTTCTATAACCAAAATAAATTTTTCTAAAAGGTTGTTATGTTTTTTTGTCTTCAACTTTCTTGAGTTTTCTTTTTTACTTACTGGTTTCAAAAACTTCTTTGATTTGAATGCCAAATACAAAAAGAAGTTTATTTGAAGAAAGAAATGAACAAAACTGGACCTCTTTGCAAACTGTTCAAAATACCTGCTTTTTAATATATCATTTAGATAACAATTTGTATTAAGAAAAGTTCAAATTGCTATTAATTTCTAATTTTGAGGTTTCAACTTGCTTTCAATAATAGTTGATACAAGTAATTATTGAAGAAAGTTGTTTTCACCTTGTACAGATGTATATTTATAATATATATATAAATTATACTGTATATTTTTCAAATGTATATTTTTACCTTACTTTATAAAATAATACAAAACTTTTATAATTTTATTTATAACACTATAATTACAAATTTACAGCTGATTTGAAAATTACTAGGATATGTAATAATTTTGTGATGATTATCGATATAGTTTTCGATAATAAGATTTTCACCCGATATAAGATTATACCGAAGTGATATACCAGCCAAAAATTATATTATCGAAACTACATTTTTATTACCGAAAATTGACTGTAATTTCGATAACAAAAATTTATCACGTGTCCCACTAATTTTCAAATCAGCTGTAATTATACTATTTTTTTTTATTTATTGTCCGGAGCGAAGCGGAGGACACTCTGTTTTTACAACGCGATAGTGTCACGTGTGTCCGTCTGTTCGTTTCCGCTTACCTGATCCTACATGCTTATTAATGCTTATTGATACTTACAAGAACAATTTTTATTTATACACTTTAAAGTAATTAATTTTTTATTTAAGCTCCGGACTTATATCGGTTCCCGATTCCTAGTTTATATTATTTTACTAATAAAATACCACTTTAATCTTTTAACTACTACCTACCTACTTCTTGCTTGATCAAAGCCTTACTATTTTTAGGATTACCTAATTTTCCTCGCCACTTTCTATTGGACGAAGAAAATCCTCTTTTGATCAAACGAAATTGCTTAGAAATATTGATTCGATTAAATAACACAAGTATTGTTGAAACAATATAAAGGTTTAATAGAACGTATACAATACTAAAATTTTGAGGACTTTTTTTTTTTGTTAGTGCACAAAAGGTGGTTTTGTAAACAAAATTTTAAGTTATTGGCTATTTTTGAAAAACGATTTTTTTTTTTGAACTTTTGCGTCACACCTAATCTCATAATTTGATTCGTAGACGAAAAGTGGCGTATTCTAACTGGTAGCAAAAATTACGGTACTTCTATTTAATCTACTAAAATTTTAATTTCCACTTATATTTAAACCGGAAGCGAAACGATGGGTCATTTACTAGTAATAGCTGAAAACCCTTTCCTAAACCAAAATTTCGCAAGGAATTTTTTTGTTAGATTAAAAAAAGCCGTTTCATAGCAAAATTTTAAGTTAAAAGCGATTTTTTCGATTTTCACGTTACACCTGATCCTGCATCCTGATTGGTCGATCAGGAGGTAGCGATGCATCGCACTGGCGATGAATGATAACTCTCTTATTTAAAAGATCAATTTTATATTATATAAATTTTATAATAAATCACAAATTTTACAACTATTTTTGTGTCTTAAGTGAAACATTAATCTAAATTAATTTATATAAAAAAATTAATTTTTTTAAAAATTTGTCATTTTGCAGCACCAAGCCCATATATACTGCATAAATACATATAAAAACTGTTATTTAAATCAAAATTTTATTACTATTAAACCAAATAAAATTTGACTCTAATGTTCGAATTAAAAACTCAGTGAATGAAAGCTTATTTCGATGCTCGAATTTATACGTAATCTCAGTTTAAAATTCCAACTATAATACTAATTAATTGAAAATTGTGCAGGTAGCTATAACGATAATTATTTTATTGATGGCAATTCTTGCATGCTTTCGTGTAACTGTAAGTTTAATTTCGTCATTGTGATGGTGGATCATCAATCAACAAAATTAATACTCGCCAAAACCTGTACTTTAGTACATCACATGGGAAAGTTACATGCAATCTAATTTACGTACTTAGAAAATGTAAAAATAATAATTTCCATAATCATAATTGCAATCGCTAATTTTTTGTTTGAAGTTATACATATCTCAGTAAGACTGATCAATTTCGATATTTTCGAGTCCTAAAAAGCTATAGAATTCAAGTACTTTCTAAATGGTGAGATTGTCCAGGTTCTTGCCGAGATATTTTCACTTAAAGATCCCGATATCTTAATTAAAAGTACAATATATTTACAGATTGTGTAGCGTTTATGAAAAAGTGCATCTTAGATGATCTAATCTAGATTCCTTATCCGTTACTCACGATTATCTTACTTATTTATTGTGTCTACGTCTATTAAACTGTCGCGTAAAAATTCAGTATATAAAGATGTTCTTAAAACACTTGAATCATCAAAAAAGACCTTTGGAAAAAACCAAAAATATAATTTATTAAAAAAACAAAAAAAAAATGTATCAAAGTTGCATCCGATCCCCAAGTCCAATACGACATGTTAGTGCATTATTATCTCGTGTTCCAAAAAGTGCGCAAGCATCACGCAATTATAGTAAAACCATCACTAATCCGTTTAGTCGATCACCTTATACTACTTCAACATACCATAAAACATATAATAATCTCAGACCTGTTTCTTCTACATCACCATTCCACGCGCTCAGAAAGACAACGCGAATATCTTATCACTATAGTACAACCACTCAGTATAAAAATGAAAATTCGAAGCCTACAAAGCATGTCAGTGAAACTATTCTCGATAATGTATCCAAAGTGGATGTGAAAAGAGTACTTGTTGTAGGGTCTGGTGGATTATCCATTGGTCAGGCTGGCGAATTCGACTATTCAGGTAAGTCGAATCTATCATTCGATTAAACCATTGAAGAACTTACTAAAGTCGATTTGTTCAATTTGCTTATGTAGGTTCACAGGCCATTAAGGCTCTACGTGAATCAGGCATTCATACTATACTTGTAAATCCCAACATTGCCACTATTCAGACATCACATGCTTTAGCAGATACTGTTTATTTCCTACCTGTTACTCCTGAATACCTTACGCATATCATTGAACGAGAACGACCCGATGGGATATTATTAACATTCGGTGGTCAGACTGGGTTAAATTGTGGTATAAAGTTAGATAAAATGGGTGTTTTAGCTCGAAATGGAGTTAAAGTATTGGGTACGCCGATTCGTACTTTGGAAGTAAGCGAAGATAGGGACTTATTCGCGCAGGCATTGAAAGGTAAATAATTAATCCATTGATGAGATAATGATGTTTAAAAAAAATTCATAATAATAATTTTTGTTATTTCATTATATAGAAATTGATATTCCTGTTGCAGAATCCACTGCAGTTTCTACTGTCGATGATGCTCTTGCAGCCGCTGAACAAATAGGTTATCCTGTAATTATTCGTTCAGCGTTCGCTTTGGGTGGGCTTGGGTCTGGATTTGCCTCAAGCCCCGAAGAATTACATAGTCTGGCAGCCAGATCCTTGTCATTGTCGCCTCAAATCCTTGTAGAAAAATCCATGAAAGGTTGGAAGGAAGTTGAATACGAAGTCGTTCGTGATGCTGCAAATAACTGTATTACTGTTTGCAATATGGAGAATTTCGATCCACTTGGAATTCACACCGGTGATTCTATTGTTGTCGCTCCAAGCCAGACATTAAGTGATGAAGAATACCATATGCTCAGAACTGCTGCAATTAAGATAATTCGTCATTTGGGGGTAGTAGGTGAATGTAACGTTCAATATGCTTTAAATCCTCAAAGCCTTGAATATAAAGTCATCGAAGTAAACGCTCGTCTTAGCCGTAGCAGGTTAGTAAACTTTACTTTTATTACATTTAGTCATTTTCAACTAATTGATCATAAATGTTTAATTGTTTCAGTGCCCTGGCATCCAAAGCTACCGGATATCCTCTTGCTTTCATTGCCGCAAAGATTGCGTTGGGTCACACACTTCCTGAACTTCCAAATTTAGTAACTAAAACTACTACGGCCTGTTTTGAACCATCATTGGATTATATTGTCACAAAGATTCCAAAATGGGATCTGAGGAAATTCCAGCACGTCAATCGTGATATCGGTAGTTCCATGAAAAGTGTAGGTGAAGTTATGGCAGTCGGTAGGACATTTGAAGAAAGTTTACAAAAGGTACGCGATCAACGGATTGAGTTTTCAGAATATTTTGTAATATAAATTTTTAATCATATTTTACATTTACTTAGGCTATTCGTCAAGTTGATCCTTCTTTTAAGGGCTTCCAATCCTTGCAATTCCCAGAACTTGATAAGACACTTAAAAATCCTACCGACCTTCGATTATTTGCCATTGGCCAAGCGATGCTTGAAAAAAATTATACGATCGATCAAATTCATGATCTTACCAAGATTGATAAATGGTTCCTTTATAAGCTTGGTAATATTGTTAACATTCAACATGATCTAAAACATGCTGGAAAATTAGAAAACGTATCCAAAACATTATTGCAAGATGCAAAGAAAAAAGGGTTTTCTGATTCACAAATTGCCGCTTTATTACAAGAAACCAATGAAGATCAAGTACGCAAAGTAAGAAAGGAGCATGGAATTACACCATTTGTCAAGCAAATTGATACTCTTGCAGCTGAATTTCCTGCCAAGACGAATTATTTGTATACTACCTATAATGCTACGACTAACGACATTGACTTTAATGACCACGGAACTATGGTGCTAGGTTCCGGAGTATATCGTATTGGTTCATCTGTCGAATTTGATTGGTGTGGGGTTTCAGCCATCCGTGCCCTTCGTAGAATGGGCAAGAAAACTGTTATGGTGAATTACAATCCAGAAACAGTTTCCACAGATTTTGATGAATGTGATAGACTCTATTTTGAGGAACTTTCATTTGAGCGTGTAATGGACATTTATGAAGCAGAAAAGGCACAAGGTGTTGTAGTATCTGTGGGTGGGCAATTACCGCAGAATATTGCGTTACGAATGTATGAAAATAAGGTAAATGTTTTAGGAACAAGTCCTGTTTCTATCGATAAGGCTGAGGATCGATTCAAATTTTCGAAAGTTTTGGATGAAATTGGTGTGGACCAACCCGAATGGAAGGAATTATCCAGTGTAGAAGAAGCTGAAAAATTTGCTGATAGAGTTGGGTAAGATAAAAACTTACTGTTTTTTTTACTAATTTTCCGTACGGACCGGATCTGTACCCGATCTGAAAATCGGATCAGATCTAAATCCTTCATGTGGATCATTTGAATCACGAGTTCGAACCCGATCCGTCGCGAATCCGGATTGGGATTCGAATATTTTATAGATCACTAGTTTTTACATTAACTTACAATATTTTGAGTTTACTAAGTGAATGATCTTTTTTTTTTTTTTGAAAATAAAAAGATACCCAGTCCTTGTTCGTCCCTCGTACGTTCTCTCAGGTGCTGCCATGAACGTTTGTCATACACGTGAGGCTCTACAGAAGAACCTTTCCGAAGCTGCATCAGTTTCACCGTTACATCCCGTAGTAATTACTAAATTCATATCACCTGCTGCTGAGATTGATGTAGATGCAGTTGCATACAAGGGCAAATTATTAATTCATGCAGTCTCTGAGCATGTGGAAAACGCTGGTGTTCATTCTGGTGATGCTACTCTTGTATTGCCCCCAAGTGATACTAACGAAAAAACTATGGCACGACTGAAAGAAATTGCTAGTAAAGTCGCTAAAGCTTTCGATATTACTGGACCCTTTAACATGCAAATTATCAGAAAGGATAATCCAAATGGAGAATCAGAGCTGAAAGTTATTGAATGTAACCTTCGTGCATCGAGATCATTTCCATTCGTGTCTAAGGTGCTTGGAACAAATTTCATTGATATTGCTATGCATGCATTGTGTGACTATCAAGTTCCAGAGCCAGTTGATCTTATGGAATTAAAGAAAGATTATCAAGCTGTTAAAGTACCGCAATTTTCTTGGACTCGCTTACAAGGAGCAGATCCTTTCCTCGGTGTTGAAATGGCATCCACGGGTGAAGTTGCTTCTTTCGGTAAAGACAAATATGAAGCGTATTGGTCAGCCATCCAATCTACACAGAATTTCAGAATTCCTAAACCAGGAAGCGGTATACTCTTAGGAAGAGATGATTTGACGAATGATGATGATTTCTACGCTGTCGCACATACACTATCTAAAGATTTAGGACACCCATTATATACATCATCACCAAAAGTAACGGAACACCTTGCGAAACAAGGTATTAAAGCCACAACATTAATCCTACCGGAACATAACAAACGTGCGTTACATCAAGTTTTCCAAAGTAATAAAATTGATTTCGTTTTTAATCTCGCACAACTTCGGGCATCGGATGTAAATGATGAGAACTATATTGCCAGAAGATCAGCAGTAGATTTTGGTATTCCATTGGTCAATGATGGTAAATGTGCTAGATTATTTGTTGAATCTTTCAAGAGGAAACGTCAAGAATTAGGCAGTTTGTCAGATGGCCAATATCCAGGTGAAGTTAAAAGTTGGTCAGAATTTAT